AAACCTCCTCCTTGGAAATTCTCAATTATTACCTGTGAAATAATAAATATATATAGGTGTCTACAACCTCTCTATAGCGGATTGATTCATTTAATCCATATAACGGAAAATGGCAATAGTCCCGGGTCTCCCGGTGCAAATTGATAAATTATAATTATATGTAATTTCTAGCTCTCTATGACGGAAAAATGTTTGGTCCCAAGCGATTCCGTTATAGAAAGGTTTTACTGTATATAAACACAGTTCTTTTTTATACACATTTTAAATTCAAATTTGAGCTAAATTACATATTTACCAAGAATTACGATTTTAGTTTTTCTGTTCTAAACATATTCACGGGTATCTGATGAAAGCGTTTAAAGTATAGTATGTTATTTTATACATAATATATAAAATTACAGTTTCAAATGCAATTTGTTCGCTAAGAATTAATTTAACCTATTCTTTGTAACTAATAATGCTTAATGGCTAATAGTGAAATAAATTATTATTTCAATCAAAATAATATCATAAATTCATAAAAAAAATACTGAGTAATATTATAGGCTGACATTCCGCGGCCTCGCGTCTTCTCTCAGAATCGTTTTTCGTATGGGTACAATGATTTTTTATCATTACAGTAAAACCTCTCTTTAACAGACCCTCTTTTAAACGGAATCCTCCTTATAATGGAAAATTTCAATAGTCCTGGTGCAAATTATATGCAATTTCTACCTCTTTATGACGGAAAACAGTTTATAACGGAAAMATTTTTGATCCCAAGCGATTTCTTTATAGAGAGGTTTTACTGTATTCATTGAATTCAAATTTAATACATAATTTACACTTTACAGTGACTTCATTAGACACCTATAATAWATAGCAGATGAGTGTTATCGACTTGACGCTTTTTTTGTCTGACATCACYTTTCAGTTTTTAGAGCAGTAAAAATAATTCCTATTGCTTCAGTTTCTTTACTGTATCTAATTGGTACATATAGGATTTAGGGGGATCAAAAGTAAAAATGTYCAATAGTTTTCAAAAGCGTTGAGAAAACCATAAAATAAGGTTTAGGGAAAACGGGAATTTTCATATAAAACTAGTTTTTGACTTGATCGATTTTGTTCTTTTGGTGTAACACTGTAACCTGCAGTGATGAAAGATAACTCAAAAACGAATGGCCGTAACGATTCTTTCGAAACATTCATATAATGAAAAGTATGTTCCAAGTTCAGACCTCAGATTTCAACTACGATTTAAGAGGACGTTAGACTTGTATTGATTATTGCCTCCATCTTACAAGTGTGTAGCGTTGGAAATTTAATCTCAATCGTAGATCACGTTTAGTTTTGTACATAGGCGCAACTAGAGGCCAAACACTGGGGGTGCTAAAATTATGTAGATGAAACAGACCCGTAGGGGCATAGCCCCCACACCTCAAGTACCTACTTCAATTTTATAATTATTATCACCAATCTTAAATACATTATAAAAACATAAGCACACTAATATTTACTTTTACCTCATAAATACATTAAGTATATTACCTATATTATTATTTAATTGATTCAAATAATGACCTATAGTATAAACAGATAAATAATATTTTTTTTTTTAATAAATGATGTCAAAATAATTATACAATTTACATTTTTAGCAGTCAATTACATGAGGCACAATCATCTCAAAGGTTAGGTAATAATACTATGTTTACATAATATATAATATACTATTTTACATTTTTACACTAATACTATTTTTCTTTTATTAGTGGAATATTGGAATATACATTATATTATATATATATATTTCCATTATTTCTGAAGAAGTAATTTTATTAACAACATCTCTTTCAATATTTAAACAACCTTACGTAAAACAAAACTTTTTCATATAATTTTTCCATTTTTGGTGTTTTTGATCTGGGGGTGCTTCGGCACCCCCAACCCCAAGCACCCCCCTATTAGCGCCTATGGTTTTGTAACAAAACTTTTGTTAGTATAAAAATTTGAGTGAATGGACYTCTTACAAAATTCAAGATTAAAGTTATTAATTTATTATCTAGGACACTCATAGACTTTTTGTTGTTATATTTTAAAGCAAGTTACATGTACATAATTTATTAATAAGACATACATTAAAAATTATCATAACTCATCACATAAAAACTGAATTACCGCGTAAAAACAAAAACTCACATATAAACACAGAATACAGATAATGTTCTTACCATCAAATTTCATAAGTGGTCGGATTCAGTCTAATTTTTAAACTAACGAAGGCGCACATAGTAATCTGCTGAGTGTGTATTGTACAATGCTAGTAATAGTAAATATATAGTAATAAGTATCGTATGAATGTTGTTGTTTCGCACTAATTATAAAACGAAAACGACAAAATAATGCTATTGTCAATAGTAATAACTCTACGTCTTCAGGCCTTCTTGGATCTTTATTAGRTATTAATATTAAAGTAAATCGCGATTCGCGATTGCAACTCGCGGTTAAACTATAGAACATTTATAACATAATTATATATAATATGTGTAAATATGTTTAAGATAAGTGTGATCTTAGAATTAGAGGAAGCACTCAAGTAGAACCGTAGAGCATCCATTGAGTTTTACCGTTTCTGGTTAGTATAGAAACGAAAACTCTGACAGACGCTGTTTCAATTTCCAACAACTTATTTTATAGCATATTTGCATATTTTAAAATTATATTATACCACAAGCTGTGGTTAAAACTTAAAACTTTTAAGTTTAATTCATATAGAATAGAATGTCCTACAGGCCACAGCCATCCTGCCCATAAAATGTAATGAAGGCAATTCACTTGAATTTTGAAGTTTGAATAGGTACAGATTAAATAAATATAATAAATAAATAATTAAATCTGTTTTACTTTAGAGGTAGGTAATAGGTAATAATAATAATGATTTATAAACCAGGCAAACTCACAAAAATATCTCAATCGTTTAGACCAATCATCGCAGTCTTTTACCCAATTTCTCGAAATTTTTCGAAAAACTGATTATTAAATGTCTCCTACCAATCACAGAAAAAACCTCCCCAATACTCGATTAGGATTTAGGCACAATCATTCCACAACAAATCAAATTAACCGTCTTGTAGATAAGATCTCCTTTTCTCTTGAAAAAATTTTATATGCCCAGGAGTGTTCTTGAACGTTGAACAGGCATTTGATCGAGTTTGGCACCATAGGGCTCCTCCACAAACTAAAAGCAATTCCCTCCCTCCATACTTGTACCTACTTATAAAATCATAACTTAGTGATCGCCACTACTATAATACGATTATGTGTGCTCAGGAACAACTTTTTCACATATTTCTAAAATAGAAGCTGGTGTCCCGCAAGGTGCAGTTATTGTACCACTTCTTTTTAACATCTTCACCGCAGACCAACTAGGCACTAGCTAAGTACTTAAAACACAATAGTAACTGACTTTGCGAATGACAAAGCATTACTGCATGTCACTTTGGCACTTAGCTGAATCTTTTATGCAAACCCATCTTGACCTACTATATAGCCTCATGGTACACAGTACAGGACCTGAAATTAAACCAAACGAAATCGCTGTACCCTACCTTCACATTACGCCCGGAGGTTCCTACACTCTGTTTAATCTGTCATCTTTATGTATTTGTTTATTTTTATTTATTTTTTGATTTTTCTCCTATCTATTACTTCCTCAGTTGTTCTTTTTTGTAACAGATTGAATAAAATATTTATTTTTTTTTTAAAGGCCATTACAGTAAAAAATCGACCGAAAAAACATGCTTTTTTATTTCCGAAAGTACCCAGGCTTCGACAATCGTAAAAACATGATTTTAGTATCAAAATAATCACGAAAAGTTGTACTTCAATATCTTGAGGGACCAGATTTTTGATTCATATTTTCTATCCAATTTTATTTCCATTTTAAATTTCTAAYAAATTTCCATTTTTTCATAAAATTATATAAAATCGAAAAACTTAGATATCGATATATCTGTTTAAAGATTCTTAAGCAAAACTTCTCGTAATTATTTTTATACTAAAATTATGTTTCTACGATCAACAAGGCCTGAGTACTTACAGAAATAAAAATGCATGTGGTTTGAAGTAAACTATATAGGAGACAACTGGGAGTTAGGACTCGTGGAATCTATAATATTTTATTATCTACTACTTTTTGTTACACCATATTTTGTTTGATCAAATTCGAACCGAGTTATTCTTTGGTTTAATTCTAATTCCAATGATTATCCATAATTTTTGTCCAATTCAGTTAATATTCCATATGATTATGAAATATTCAATAAAATCTTTACGATGCGATAATGACTCGATAGTTATAGGCTATAGCTGATAGTATGTAAAAATTGTGTGTTATCTTAAGGTGTAAATTGACAATAACTGTATCACGTATGGTTTATGCTTAAACCGCATGAATCTATTCATTATATTCTGTATTTTTGAAATTTTGTGGCCAAATTCTGAAAATTCATTTATATTTAAACCTTATATCTTACAATTAAAATGACTTCAATCATAAATTATCCATTTCGCATTTGTAGATCCATCTTGGGTACTTCATTGGCAACGGAAAGTAGGTAAGTTAAATTTTATCAGGATACAAATAAATCATTTGTAGCAATTTGTGTTGTTCATGCTACCTACGTAATAATGGTAGTATGTAATTATGAAATTAATACGATTTAAGGGTAGAAATGTTGTTACAGAATTCTAGTTGTTTGATTACCTATTAAATAATAGTATGTACTTAAGGAATTAAATATTTTTTTAATAACTTATGTCTATTGTAGTATTGTCGAAAATCAGGAAGTAGCAGTGTTGGAAAAGTTAATTTTTAAAAGTAACTAAGTTACGTTACTAGTTACAAAATAAAATTGTTAACTACCAGATTAATTGTTAGTTACTCAAGAATAAAAATAATGTGTAACATTACTTATTTTACTCAAAAGTAACTAGTTACAATAACATTACTCTTATGTCATAAAAAGTCTATTTTAAATAAATTTTAATCAGTTATTTTACCTCTTTTTTTGTTTCAATAATCTAGCTTCATTAAAGAGCATTCGACAGAAGCGCTTGAAAAGAGTGACATTTTAAATTTCACAACGATTTGTTTCATTGTAGGTAAACTGTTTAACATTTTTAAATCGCCTGTATAAACTGTATTATAATAATGCTCCTCTTCGCCATGGTTGATCAAAAACTAACTCTCCACTAAAGAGAAAATCATAGGCTATAATTAATGTTTATAATCAGTTAAATTGAAAATAATAACAAAATTGTTCATATAATTATATTATATTACACCAGGAAAATGTAATAACATAAATATCTACTTAACTTATTAATATAATTACATTTCCTGATGTGGATATGAGGGGAAGGACTGTAACGAGTAACACACATTGCCCAACACTAGGAAGTGGTTAGTTAAAAGACTAATGCCTGGTCCACCCATAGTCTGCCAAATGCTTTGCTACTGTTTTTAAGAACATTTTAGATTTTCCTATCTCTTTGATGAAATTGAGATGTTTTGTTTTAGCGTTTTCTTGTTCTTTGTAAGCCCCACATAAGAAGTATCAAGGTCAAACATAAGAAATATGTTTAAAATGCATATAACTACTTTATTTTTATTGTTTATTAGCTGCTAGTATTAAAATATGATAGCTTAACAACTGCAATTAAACATAATAAAAAAATTATGCATTACATTATGGTATTATATAACAAAACCAGCATTCAATGTAAAAAAATTACAATTTTAATGGTAAAAAAGCGGGTAAGTTGTGGATGTTGCTCTGCCGTATATTAGGTTACAAATGGGTTACTGTAATGGATGGAATTAAATATGAATCCAATGATATTATATCATTGTTTACAAAAAACGATTTTGAGCGGAGACGGTTTATCTGTCTAGGATATATTATAGATTATTAAAATTTTTAAATCTTAGATTTTAAAAGAAACATTTTTTTGAATTTCTAGCCAAAAATAATTTGTGCAAATTTTCGTGAATTTGACGTATTAAGTCAAAATTTGAACTTTAAATGCTTATAAAAAAAAAAATCGCGCCTATGTATTTTTAATATTTTTCAACTGCTATTGTTACAATGTGTTAGAATCCTTGTATTAAATTTTCATCTTTTCTACCCAACAAATAAATTTTTATCGATTTATTTATAGAAAAAATCTAAAAAAGTTGAAAAATTAAAATGTCAGTAAACAGCTCAAAACAAAATTTTTTAAATATAGAAAATGCCTATATAAACATCCAGTGAAAATTTCAAGTATCTGCGGTCATTTGTTTTAGAGATACACCAAAATAAGGAGCATTGTAAGCATCATGGTAAAATCAATACATTTCTCGCTCCGCTCAGAATCTAAAATGCATATTATAATTATTGATGTACAGTAGGTACTTATTTATTGGATTTTTTTTATAATTCAGCTAGAAATTTAAAATAGGAAAATTAAACTAAATCTGGACTTTGGATGGCGTAAAAAAAATGTAAACATATTGCATATTTATTGTTTAGAATATCTTTTTCACAAATTGGCAAACCTCAATTATTTATGAAAATGCGAATGTTGTTTTTTTTCTATTCAGGATAAATAGCTTAATGGGCTACAACATTTTGCATCGTAAAGTGTCAGATGCTGCAGCTGATGATAGTAAAGAACCATTAAAAGAAAGTAAAAATAAGATTGATATTGAAGCCCTTGTAAAACAAAATGAAGATCTACACGAAGAAAACAAAAATTTAACAGTATGTTTTAAATATCATATAAATTACAGATTAAAGATAGTATTTATGATACTTTATTGTGTATAGGAAAAAGTCAGGAGGTATTTAGCTGAAACAGAAAACATACGCAAACGTACTGTTAAAGAAACTGCTGATGCTAAAATTTATGCTATTCAAGGATTTTGTAAAGATTTATTAGATGTAAGAATGACAATTTAATTTAAAATATTTATATGATACCTATTATAGTTCATAAGTAATAACTTTACTTTTTCTAGGTTGCCGACAGTTTAAGTAAAGCTACTGAATGTGTTCCGAAAGAAGAAGTATCTGATAGTAACCCACATTTGAAACATTTATATGAAGGCTTGGTGACTACTGAATCACAATTACAAACAGTTAGTATTACAAATAATATACTATAATATTAAATATATATATAAATTAACTAATAAATAAATATTACATATTTTATCTATTTAAAGATTTTCCAGAGACATGGGTTAATGTCTATAAATCCTTTAAATGAAAAATTTGATCCTAATTGTCATAAAGCTTTATTTGAACAGGTAACTTTGTATAATTAAGTATTAAATAGAATTATAAATAATATTATTTTCTTTTTTAGGTTGTTGAAGGCAAAGAAGGAGGTATTGTGGTTGTAGTTTCCCAAATTGGATATAAATTACATGAACGTGTCGTGAGAGCAGCTGCTGTTGGAATCAGCAAGGATCCAAATCAATAAAAATCTATTAAGTTCTTAATTTAAGTATCTATTGGAATCAATCTAAAATCTAATTAATACACAACCCATAGTGAAATCATGTAGTTTATTTTTATCACACAATGAAATTACTTTATAGTGTTAACTATTTACTAACCTTATTCCATGACTAGACGGGTCAAAATTGTGTTAAGGATTTACTAAAAAAGATAATTATAATTTTTGTTATACTTTATTTTAATATATAAATTATAAAATATATTTAATGTGTATAAAAGAGTAATAACTAATAAAGGAATGAAGATACTTGTTAGTTGTTACCTAATCAAAATAATAACAAGTACATACATATAGGAATGTTCAAATTTAGAATAGTAATTATATTAAATATTTTTAATTTTTCTAAGTCTTCTTTAAATTTTAAACTAATGACTATTATCAAAAGGTTTTAAAGTAAAGTCTGCAAGCGTATTAGATTCTTAGTGAGCAATGAATGTACTGATTTACCATATCAAGGTTGTATTTTTTTTGTCCGTCATCTTTTAATGTGGCTGTAAAAATACTTTAATCAGTGTTTGCTTCTGATAACAGAAGGATAACTTAAGTAAATCACTTAAGCTCAGGCGTTTCTAATATTCCTTTTCTTACTGTACAGTTAAACTTTTAACTTATTATACGCTATTACATATTKTAAATAATTAATTCTAATAGATGACTTATATAAAAAAAAGATATCAAGATTAGAATCAGGCTATAGTAAGAGAGGTACAACTATCTATCAGATATTCCTGCTTGAGTCTCATCTGTTATAGTTTTCGAGGATCAGATACACAAATGATACAATTTATATATATATTACTAGTGTTGGCCAACGATATCGATAATTCGATACGATATCAATATCGTGGGTATTTTTTCAATAATTTCGATATCGATATCTAAAAATAATTATCGAAAATATCGCAATATCGGTGTGATTAATCGGGGCTCGGAATTTTGCGGTTTT